GACCCAAAGCCCATCTGTAGGCAAGTGGACATGGCCTTACAGAGGATCATATAGAGGAGATGAGCCAGTCAGGGTGCAGTGTAGCAACTATGAAACATACAACTTTCCTCTAGTTCTTTAATGCTTCCGCCCACCCCACCCCCCCACTATCATGATTCCAATTCCACCTTACAAATCCGGCCAGACCAGAGGATGTACACTGGTACAGGTAGGAATTGGAAACACAGGGAATCCAGGACAGATAAACTCCTCAGGACCAGTGGTGAGAGTGGTGATATGGGGAGGGTGGAGGGAAGGTGGGGTAGAAAGGGGGAACCAATCACAGGGATCTTCATATAATCCCCTCCCTGGGGGATGGACAACAGAAAAGTGAGTGAAGGAAGCCATCGGACAGTGTAAGGCATGACAAAATGATTTATAAATTATCAAGGGTTCGTGGAGGGTGGCATGGAGGGAATGGGGGGTGAGGAGGGAGGGGAAATATGAGGAGCTGATACCAAGGGTTCAAGTAGAAAGCAAATTTTTGAGAATGACGATGGCAACAAATGTACAAATTTGCTTGACACAATGGATGGGTGGATGGATTATGATAAGTGATGTACGAGCCCCCAATAAAATGATGTTTTAAAATTGTGTGGGACAATTCCCTGATCGTCTTTCATTTTCCTATGAACCTTTTGAAGCCCCCCCATCCCCAGTATAGATTGAAAGGAGCCCTGGTGGCTTAAGTGTCACAGCGTGGCCCATAGTAAATCCACGGGACACTCCAAGGGCGAAAGATAGGCTTCGTGCTCCCATAAAGAGTGACAGCCTTGGCAAACCCACAGGGGCAGTTCTGCCTTGTCCCGCAGGGTCCTGATGAGCCCACATGGACTCAATGGCACTGAGTATGGGGGTTCTGAGTTTGTATATGAAGAGACCCCCCTTCACTCCCCCACTAGATGCCTCCTCGAACTCCAGCCCTGGCACGCCTTCCCTTGGTAATTTTCTAGAGATCATCAAGGCACGTGCGTGCAAGCATAGACAGATATACCCTTGTGACTGACGCCTAGGACTCGGAGTTGGGGTGGATGGGGGACTGAGGCGCCCAAGGGTTCTCTAGACTACATACTCTCCCAACATCTCCTCAGACTGTCTCCAGTTCCCCTACACTCTGCCCGCTAGATGACAAACCCTTGGGTTGGGTTGGGGCTGGACCCTGCGGTGACCTTTGTACCCCCCCCCACACACACACATCCCGACCCCGGCTCGCTTGACAGTGGAGGAAGAGAGCAGTCAATGCGCCCTTCTCGTTTTCCTCCAAGTTTCCTGTGTCTCTGAGTGTGCTCATATGGAATGCCAACTGTGTGTGTGTGTGTGTCATGTTTCAATATTGGCTTTTTTCCCCTTCTTGAAGTCTCCTTTTATAACTTCTTCTGCTACTGCTTAAATATAGACAACGAAGTCCTCCTCCTTACCAGATTGTTTATATTTTTGAAAGCCTTCTGCTTATCTGCGATCGCTCTCTCTTCTCTATCTCCAGCCCCACTTTGCCACATTGGTTTCGGTTGCTCTTTTTTTTTTTTTAAAACCCTCCTCCCCCCTGCCTTCACTTGACTGGGATGTGTTTCAAATGTGGTCTATCAAAATGTTCAGTGTTTCCCTCCTTTCAGCAATAGCTTTGACATCTGTTCTTGAATCCCAGCCCACATTATTCCCTTGGACTCGCTTGCCCAAGATTTGTGTGCCTGCCAGGAATAATCGAGGGGGAAGTGTGGTATGATGGGTCGGGGGCATCTCTCTGCCCTCCTCTTCACCTCCCTCACACCCCTCTCTTACCTCCCTCCCCAACCCCCTCGATTAAAACTACGGTGCCCTGTGTGGCAGCCGCAGTGCAAGGAGTGTTTGCGCCAGCACTTTGTCATCTCGGCTGGCTTCTTTCCTGGGTAGCAGTGGCCCCAATGAAGGGTTAAGCTGGAGAGCCAGATAATTCTGCCAAAAAAAGCAAAGCAGGTGGCACCGCGTGAGGTGGGAGGGATATATGCATGGAGATAAGTGGCAGGATCTCAGCCTTGGATGTTTCTCGTCATCCGGCCTTTGCTTGGGTCCTAGATCTGCTTGGGCCACTACCCCCCACCCCCCTCTGTGATAGTCCAGGCCACGGGGAAGCACGTGGAGCAGCCAGCCGCCTCTAGTCCTAAACTGAATGTTGCCTTGCGTGCGTGCGCTGTGAGCAACTGAAGCCTCTCAGCGCTAGGGCGGGCCTCTTGGTGGCCACACAGGTGCGCCCTGCACTCCTGCTGGCCATGCGGAGTACCATCCTGGGCCCATCTGCTGCTGGTGTGTGTGAAACAGATCCCCTTGGTAGCCCCGCCCATGTGTCCAAGGCCAGGGCTTGGGTTCTCAGATACCTCATGTCACTTTGTCACGTGGAGCAGTGCCCAGAGCCCTCAGACTGGACAGATCGTCTCACTTGGAAGCCCCTGGCGGTTCCAAGGGGACTTTTCTCTTTAAAAAAGAATCAGGCCGCTCCCAGGAGAGGAGGTGGCCTGTAGGCATGGGCCTGACTCCGGTTTTAGCAAAGAAAACTCAGAGCTGCCTGTTTTATTCTAGAAACACGGTCATTTGTGAAGCTGGAGTTGATGCCAAGCTCCCCCAGGCGGGCAGCTTGGGTTTTCTCAGACCAGCCCAGGTGGGTGGATGGAGTCGGAAGCATGGCATGTCACCTCACACGGCCCTTTCTGTTGGAGCCGGCCCCTCTCTCGCCCAGCCGGTTTGGTTGATCATCTCGGGAGTCCCCGGGTGTGGGGGCCCTGTCGAGCACAATCTTCTCTGGTACCAAATGCAGTGACCATCTGGGCTTTTGTCTCTGCCTCTCCCTACAGAGAGAACTGGATGCCACTGCCACAGTACTGGCCAACCGGCAAGATGAAAGCGAGCAGTCTAGAAAACGGCTCATCGAGCAAAGCCGGGAGTTCAAGAAGAACACTCCAGAGGTGAGGCGGCGCTCCCCGCGGCATCTCTGTGGCGGGCCTCCTCCTTCTTGGGCACACTCAGGAGAGATGGGCTGGGAGCGTTTCGTTCTTGATTCGACGCACGCTCTGTGTGGATCGGATGGTCCCCGGCTGTGCCCCCGGGGACCACCGTTCCCACCTGCCTCGGGCCACTCTCGGATAACTCATAGGTTGTCTGAGTCAAATCAAAGCACAAGCATTTCCCAGGCGCGGACGTCCAACAAGTTGGGTGTGCCAGCGTGTGTGGCCCGGTGTGTGGGAGTGTCTGAGGCCATCCCAGCCCCTGCCCAGCACTGTCCCCAGGTCTGTAGCAGCTCCCTTAGAAGATCCAGAGGGGAGTGAGCGTAAGGACATGGTGGGGGTAAGGAGCCACAAAGAAACTGGCTTCCTGGGGGCAGGGACAAGTCAAGCGGCTCGAGGGTGCACACATCTGAGGGGGGAAGGGGCTGATGTGTCAGTATTTCTTGTAAGCCTGATGTCTTGGTTTAGCGCCTTGCAAAAGGCCTAGCTGTCTCGTGAAACCTGCTTCAGACGGCATAGGGAACATGTGCCCCTGCTGTGCTCCTGGTTTTCTCCATGTAAGTGTGTGTCAGAAAGACCGCATGCTGAGTTGCCAGGCAGTCGCTTCCTGGTCTCTTGGCTAGATCCCTGGCTCCCTCCAGCCCCCATCCCGGGTGCACTAAGAGCCGAGAGGAAACGACGACTCACAGACAGTACAGCTGACGTGGGAATGGCTTTGAGGAGGGTGCTGAGCTGGTTCTGCCTGGAATATTTTGGGGTCAGAATATCTATTTCTAAAGCTTCAACTTCATGTCACTTGCTCTCTGTGTCCATAGTCACTGTCCCATGGTTGCCACGACTTTTTAACGAAAAGATTATACTGTAGTCGGAGGGGGTTGCTGTTCTCCTGTGGAAAACATGGAGGCGTTTCTTTGTGTCAAGCAGGAATGCCTCTCAAAGGACAGCGTTGCTTTTTGTTTCTTACTGCACAGCACTTCCCTGTTGGTTCCATAATTGGTAGCTGAGCCTTGTAGGCTGTTGGGGGTTTCGGGGCTATATTGCTGCTCATAGTTATTCTTGCAGGTAACTTACTGTCCTTGGACAAATCACTTCATTGCCACGCAAAGTCCTTGGGCAATGTGTCGTGACAGGGCCCAGCTCCCCGGGCTGCTGTGGGGATGGAATGTATTGGGCATAAAGACTTCACACGGGGGCGGCAGTGGAGGCCAGCCCACGCGTGTCACTGGTGTGACTCCGAACTATAGAGTGTAACGTGCCAGGGACACACTGAGAAGAGTGCAAGAACTAAAGGCAACAGCGGCCAATGCTGTTACAGACAAGCTCTTGCGATAGCAGGGATCCATGTGTGTGTGTGGGGCGGGGGGGAGTATGCCCATGGACATGTGTAACTGTAACAGGATGTGTCTACATGTATACTTCCCTGTGCTGCACAGAGATGGATGAACATGGCAGAGCACGCAAGAGGCCAAGGTAGGGAATTGCTTAGAGATAACCGAAGACTTTGAGGGAAGGGGTCACTGGGACTGGAGACCCGGGACCTTAGTCTCAGGGGACGTCAGTGTCAATGGGCAAAACACAGTTCCTAAGGACGACGTTCTGCACCCTACTCTGGAGAGACCCTTTCATGCAGTTTCTTATGTTGTGGTGATCCCCCACCCCCACCATAAAATTATTTTCGTTGCTACTTCATCACTGTCATTTTGCTACTGTGATGAATCGGGCGACCCCTGTGAAAGGGTCGTCTGACCCCCAAAGGGGTCTCGACCCACAGGTTGAGAACCGCTGCTGTAGGGTCTTCAGAACGTGTGAGCTGCGACCGTAGGTGCATCTGTTGCTCTTCCCTGTCCAGAGGGAAGAAAATCAAAGATAGATGGGAACCATGAGTCCAGTGGACTAATGAACCACAAGAGGCAACCAGCCTCCGTTACCCCGAGACCAGCAGAGTTAAATGATGCCCAGCTACTGGTACTAACTGCTCTGAAAAAGGATTACGTTAGAAGATCCTGGGTAGCGTGGGAGGAAAATGCAGAACAAAATGGAAAATGATTGAAAAAGAACTTGGCTTCCTGGTTGGGTAGAGACTGGTAGAACCCCCAAGTCTTATGGCCCTGTGCCACCCTCCAGGTCTGAAACTGAACTTGGCCCCGTGGCTTGGTTGTTAGCCGAACCACAGACAGGGCTAACAGGGAGGCACATATTCCTTGGCCTCATCAACCACCTGAGATCCAAGGGCAGCACTGACCCAACCAAGGACAGAGTTCAGAAGGGTCAGCAAAGGAGGAAGGACTGGGACCAAGAAGCACTGGGAAGAAAGGGGCCAGGGGGACGGGGCACCTTGCTCAGGGAACTTAGCAACAACAAATGCATAGTTATAGCTTACCACATTACAGAAACTAGTTTGGACTAACAGTTCCCCCTTTTACAAGTATTTATTGAACACCTTCCATGTTTGGTCCTGGGGATTAAATCCTGGCCCTAGTCTGTAAAGAGGCCCTTTTCTTTCTTCTCAGGTACCAAGAACGGTGTTAGGTCAGCATGTAGCGAGCTAAGTGGTGTGAGGACATAGGTGGACGCCGCTGAGTGGCAGGCCTTTCCCGTACAAATGCACGTGCTGATACGTTCTGGCTAAGCCATGCACATCCCAGGAACCCTTAGTTTAGATAAACAGCTCTGCGAACCTTGGTTTTATCCCTTAAGATCCTGTGGGGAGCGAAGGACCTGCTTCACCAAGCAGCGCATGCTGCCACACAATTTCCAGCTCCCGGGAGGCCATCCCTGAGCACCGCGGTTGGAACTTAGAACCAAGACTGTGCAGACACATGCTGGCCCTTCCCAGGACGGCCGGCTGGGAGGAGATGAAGAGGGAGGCAGCGGTGCGGGGAATGTAGGGGCCAGGCCCCAGAGCGCTGGGCTGGGTGAGAGGTAGGTGAGTGCCAAGGCCCTGACTGCTGGGCAGAGGCCAGCTGTGCTGCGGGCACCAGCAAGGAGGACGGACCGTTCCTGTGCAGCAAGGTCCTGACGGGGCAGCCGCGGGTGGAGTGGCGGGCAGGAGTGGCCTCTCAGAAGCCTCGTGGTGCTGCTGGAAGCACCTGCTTGGGGAGGCCCAGTCACGGCTCCCACACGCCCAGGAGGTTTTCCTGAGTCTCCCTGGCTGCCATCGCCTTTTCCGTTGCTTTGATCTGAGCGCTGAGGTGCGGCCCGAGCTCTCCCTTTCCAGCCCCAGTGCTGCCGCCTCCGGGAGCTGCTGAAGGTCACGGTTACCGCTTAACACCCAATCTGACTTTGATATTTATAAAGCTGACTGTGACTGCATCACCCGCTACGCGAGGAGCCCTGACAGGAACGTGCCTAGGTGTCGGGGCCGACGCCTCCTCACTGTCCCACAGGGTCTCCTGAGCCACTCTGAGCGAGTCCCCCTCAAGGACTGCAGAACTCACTGACCTTCTAACTCACAGCGACCCGATGGGACAGGGTAGCACCGGCCGTGGGTCCCCGAACCTGTAACTCTCTACGGGAGTAGAAAGCCTCATCTTGTGTCTGGAGGAACAGCTGCTGGCGGTTTCGAACTGCTGATATTGTGGATTGCAGCCTGACCCGTAACCACTACAAATCCCTTGCAATCAGTAGATTCTGGCTCCTGGTGTTCCCAGTGTGTTTTCGAGTAGAATGGCCCTCAGTGGGGGCTTGTCTGTAGCTCTTCTACTTGGGGGAGTGGACTGCCAGGCCTTTCTTCTGTGGCACCTTGGAGCAGAACTAAACTCTCAGCCTTTCGGTGAGTTAGGGAGCACAGACCATTTGCATCACGGAGAGGCTTTATGCTACCCAGGAGTTAAACTGCGCTTTTGGTTTCTGCTTGCTCGCATACGCTTGCTCCTTGGCGGTTTGTCCTGAGGATCTTGCAGAGCAGAGAGTGGAACCCGAGCAGTCTGGCTCCAGGTCAGCTCCCCAGATGGGCGCCTACTGCCATCACAGGGGCTGCCTCGTGCCTTGGGGGCACTTGGAGGGGAAGCCCCAGGGGACTTTCTGGTGACTCTGCTGTATTCCACTCACAGTGGGGAGTCAGGTATGAATAGCCACTGCTCAATTTGTGGGCCTAGTGACCCGAGTGACCTGGGGTGACCTCCTCCCTAGAGGCTGATTCAGGCATCCTGTGGACTGAAGCCGTGCATCAGACTGTGCTATTTAAAGATGATACTTAAAAAACCAAACCCACGGCCATTGAGTCCATTCTGACACCTAGGGACACAGGACACAGGGCAAAGTAGAACTGCCCCCTGGAGGATTTTGGAGACTATCAGTCTTTCTTGGAGGAGACAGCCTCGTTGTGTCCCTCTTGGAACGGCTAGTGGATTTGAACTGCTTACCTTTGTAGCCCAGCCTGTAAACCCACTCTGCCACATGCTGCCTGACTGTCAGCAAAACAGTTTCCAGCATCCAACTTGCCTCCAGAAAGAGCACCAGGCTATTTTTGGTCTTGTTCTAGCCCATTTCGGTAAGGGAGGGGCTGTCCCCATTGATGGGGGCATCATAAATTCCCTCCCAGTGCGCACATTGGTCACGGCAGGGTGTCCAGCCCCCGCCCCAGAAAGTTTCTCTGGAACCTGCTTTGTTGGGCTGATTCACATCTGCTGAGAGGCGTGGCCCTCTGCTGTTGAGAGAAACTGAGCCACAGTCCTGGAACTCTGACCAGCGTGTATGGTTCTGGTACCCGTATGCTCAGACTTGGAGCCGTAATGCTACTAGTACCCCTTCACCCTGCTGAAGGTCGACTACTCTTGTTTCCTACTTCTGTCCTGCCCAGTGGGCACACCCATCTGCTTCTGTGACCCTGTCTCTGGCTTGCGTTGTCATCAGCGGTCAGTACCTGGCATGGCTTCCCTCTACTGTCTCCAGCCGGGGGAGGTGGCCCCAGATGAGACAGCCACTGGAGTCTCAACAGCCCTGCCACCAGAGCCCGCTGC